GTATTCCATCATCCTCAATCATTAGCATTATCTCCCTCTTACCATTATGAGTGCCATCGCCCCCCCTGCGCGACCCACGCTGCCATCCCCCAATGATCAGAATAACGGCGACTTGCATGGCATCATAGAGGTGCTCCAAAAGCTGCTCGACGGTAACACGCTGCTGGGCGGGGAGACCCCTGTCAAGGAGATACTCGCCTTCCTGCAGGCCAAGCAGCCGGAGGTGTTCAAGCAGCTGGATGAGATGAGCAGTGTACTCGATAAGCTGATCGGGGTAGACGATCACATGGCACTGGAGTGGAAGAAGAAGGGAAATGCACTCTACGAGGAGAAGAAGCTAGCCGACGCCATCTTCAGCTACACCAACGGGCTCCTCTGCGCCGAGAAGGATGAGACCATGGCGGTGCTGTTGAACAATCGCAGCACGGTGTCCTTCGAGGTGGGCATGCTGGCCGACGCCTGTCTGGACGCACACAAGTCGCTCCAGTACAACCCCCAGTACGCCAAGGCGCTGCTGCGACGGGGGAAGTGTCTGAAGGCGCTGGGCTTCGGGAATGCGGGACAGAAGGACATTACCGCGGCGGAGCGCTTCATGGACCCCAGCACCAACCCCGAGGAGACCGACCTCCTCGCCCTCGCCAACACCGCGGAGGAGATGGAGCTCATCTTTGGGAAGGACATGGCGAAGGATAACTCCAGCCTGCCGCACCGGGCACAGTTCTACAAGCGGACGACCACCTCCGAGGACGGAGAGGAAGGGGAGAAGAGCGACAATGGGCTGCAGGTGGACCGGTCGGCCAAGGGTCGGGGTTACAGTGCGAGGGAACGTATACCCGCTGGGGTCACGGTACTACAGGAGACCCCGTTTGCCTTCGCCCCCCGGCTCGAGAACCTCCTCAACTGCTGCTCCTTCTGCCTGCAGTTTACCAGCTCCCTCTACGCTGGGGACTCGTACCGCAAGAAGGGGAAGAAGTCGCGCGGCTTCTTCTGCAGTGAGTCCTGCGCGGAGCAGGCGTGGCAGCACTTTGGGGAGGAGGAGAGCAAAAATGTGTTCTACCTTCTCTGCCCGAACGATGGGCTGCTGGCCCTGCGTCTCATCCGTGGTCTCCGGGAGTCCCCCAACACGACGGACACGAGGCCGACTGAGCCGTCCCTCACCACCTCCGCTCCCCCGTTCTTTGAGCTCGACCTCCACACCCACCTCCGCACCCTCGAGGGTTCTTTTACACGGGAGTTGGTCCGGGAAAAGGTCAGCAACGGCGCCGACACGGACAACTCCCTCGAGGGGAACATGAACACCAACAAAATACCGCTCTGCTCCGTCGGTGGGCGCGAGTCGGTGGTGGCGGCGCTCGCTCTTCACATGGGGGCCGTCAAGAACGAAGGGGAGGCGGAGCTGCTCCGCAAGGCGATGCGACAGGTGCTGCTCAACGCGAAGGAAGTCAAGTGCCTGGCGCGACAGAAGAGCCAGGGTGGGATCGACGGGGCGCTGCAGCTGCACGCCAACACCATCCTCTCCCTCGCCAAGGCAGTCTACCCCTACGCCGCGGTGCTGAATCACTCCTGCGACCCCAACTGCTGCCTCACCTACGTCGAGAACCCCCAGTGCTGCTGCGCCGAGTTGGTCGTCCGCACCCTGCGCCCTGTCATGGAGGGGGAGGAGCTCACGATTAGCTACTACACCAACCCTTACACGGTGGGGGACGAGGGCGCGACGGGTGGGATGACGGTGGCGCGGGCCGCCACGCAGCGCAACACCGCCCTCGACCGCTTCAACTACCACAGCCTCCGCCAGCGGCTCATGTCCATCAAGACCAACTACGGCTTCTTCTGCCAGTGCCACACCTGCACCTCGCAGGTGGATGAGCCGGTGGAGACGGTGGAGAAGACGTACTACATCCAGAGCTCCGACCTGTACCAGAAGGGGCAACGGATGATACGGGAGGGAAAGTATGAGACCGCCGTGCAGGTGCTGCTGCAGAGCTACGAGCTGGTCATGCGCCACATCTGTCCCGCGCCCCGGCCGCCGCAGCTGATGCTCCCCAAGACGCACCTCGCGATCGCCCTGGCGTACTTTCACCTCCAGAAGAAGCAGGAGTGCTTCGAGCACCTGAAGGCGGCGGTGGAGCTGGACATACAGATCCACAAGACGGACTGTCGCTCCCACTACATCAATGACTACACACGCCTCGCGTTTATTGCCCCGAAGGAGGAGGACAAGAAGTTGTACGCCGAGAAGGCGGTGGAGCTGCTCAAAATATTCTACGCACCATCCTCTACACTGGATATGCAAATCTCTTACACCCGCTCCAGCTACCTCGGAAGTGGCGGAGAGGAAACGAAGAAGTAAACACTAATACAAAAAAACACAACCACAAAAAAATAAAATGACGAGCCACCGCTTCAACCAACTGTACAAGGTCGATGCCCTTTTCTTTGATGATTTTATCGAACGCTTCTCCCTCTTTCTGTTTTTTAAAAGTATATTTTTTTTCGTAGTTTTCTCTGCCAATGCTACTGAGACGCGTGGCGTTCTCGGGCAGAGCTAGTAAACCTTTCGCGGTCCTGTGTTGCACCAGCAAACGGTTTTGCAATACTAACAACAACAATAACAACAATGATAGAGATAAGGACAAGAAGAGCGAGGACAGCAAGAAGAAGGAGGACAAACCAGCAGCGGACGCACCTCCAGACACAAAACCCCCCACTACAGAGAACAGCAACGACGCGCAGCCCGGTAAGACCAACACGAACGAGGCGACCCTCAGCAACCAGGACAAGAAAAAGATAGACGACGACAAGCTCAACAAGACGTTCGACAAGGACAACAAGATACCAGTGGGGTTCGAGGCCTACTGGGGAAGCCCGCTGCGAGGACGCCTCCCACCGAAGCGCAGTGAGGCCGACCGCATCAAGCAGGCCTTCACCATGTCCCCGGAGGAGCGCATTTTGGTGGTGGAACTGTCGTCCAAGGCGCGGCAGCTGAAGGTGATGCGCAACTTATCGATTGTCACGGTGCTGCTGGTGCTCGTGGTGGGCTACAAGTTCTACCGCGCCAAGGGCAACCTGGAGAAGGATGTGTCCAAGTACAATGCCGTCTTTGTCAACCTTCCCTCCCACCTCGCCGTCTTTGTGGACGAAAAGGGAAATTTCTTGGGGGTGCGCAACTTTATTGACTTTGACGCCTTTGAGAAGTCCTGCGATGCGTCCAAGGATGTGCTGATTGAGGTCTTCTCCTACTACCCGTGGATCCCCATGCTGCTGCTCGGTCTCCTGCCGATTCTGGCGGTGCTGCACACGGGGTTCAACAAGGCCTCCGGCGCGGTGGGGTCTAAAATGTTCGCAAAGGAGAAGAGCCGATTCAACTTCCAGCGGGAGATGAGCGTCCGGACGCGGCTGAAGGATGTGGCTGGCCTCACGGAGGCGAAGCACGAGGTGGTCGAGGTGATTGACTTCCTCAAGCACCCCGAGGTGTACCACAAGCTGGGGGCGAAGCTGCCGAAGGGCGTGCTGCTGGACGGCCCGCCGGGGGTGGGGAAGACCCTCCTCGCGAAGGCGGTGGCGGGGGAGGCGATGGTGCCGTTCGTGAGCTGCTCAGGGTCCGAGTTCGAGGAGGTGTACGTGGGTGTCGGCGCGCAGCGGGTGAGAGAGCTCTTCAAGGAGGCCCACAACTGCAAGCCGTGCGTCGTCTTTGTCGATGAGATTGACGCCTTTGGCCGACAGCGCAAGACGGACGGCGGGGGCAGCTCGCGAGGCACCCTCAATGCGTTTCTTTCCGAGCTGGACGGTTTCAAGGACGCCTCCGGTATTATGGTCTTGGCGGCGACCAACCGCGCCGATATCTTAGACAACGCCCTCACCCGTTCCGGCCGCTTCGACCGCAAGATCTCCCTAGACCTCCCTTCTTACAATGACCGCATTGCCATCGCGAAGGTGCACCTCGCACCGCTTCACCTAGACCCCTCTAGCAGCATCCAGAGCTACGCCGAGACGCTGGCGGCCCTCACCCCCGGCTGTAGCGGTGCGGATATTTTTAATGTTTGCAATGAGGCCGCCATCCAGGCCGCCCGCGGGGATGAGACGCACGTCGGGGTCCCGCACTTCCACAAGGCGGTGGAGCGGGTGCTCGTAGGGCTGGAGAAGAGCGCCGTCAAGTACACGCCGCACGAGAAGGAGCGGTTGGCCTACCATGAGGCGGGGATTGTCGTGCTCAACTGGTTCCTGAGCGAGACGGACCCTGTCATCAAGACCACGATCCTCCCCCGCGGCCGGCACCGCACCGGGGTGACCCAGCAGCTGCCGCACAACGTGTTCATCTCCACGGAGGCGCGGCTGCTCGAGCGGATTGTGGGGAAGCTCGGTGGCTACGTGGCGCAGGAGCACTTCTTCAAGGACATCTCCACCAGCGCCGCCAATGACATGCAGAAGGCCACCAATATGGCGATGCAGATGGTGTGCGTGTATGGGATGAACCCGGACAAGATTGGGCACATTGGCTACGACATGGACAAGGGCGACACGCTGCAGAAACCATTCGGCCCAGAGAAGGAGGACGACGTCGACAGGGCGGTGGAGAAGATCATGGCGGAGTGTCTTCAGCGGGCGCGGGCGCTCCTCCAGGAGCACTTGCAGCACGTTCGCGTCATTGGCGGCTCCCTCCTGAAGCGCGAGACGCTCTCCGCACACGACCTCTTCTTTCTGCTAGGCGACGCCCGACCATGTCGAAGGAGTTTCTTGCTTATTTGGAGAGCTAAACATGAAAAGTAAAATAACTCCTTCCATACACCTATTTAGACAACCGCGCGTTGGCTTTTTCACACTCTCTTATATTATTAAAAAAAAAAAAAACACACACAATTTAGTGGTCATCATAACTATTAAAAACAACAACAAAAAAACCTGTTTCTGTTTTTTGATGGGTCTGTGGAAAAAAAAAAAAAGACACTTGTGCACAGCCATCCCCTCTTCTTTTCCCCCACTTTCCGTCAGAAACAAAAATTCGTCAACAGCAGGGTTCGAACCTGCGCGTGAGATCACATTTGATTTCAAGTCAAACCCCGTAACCACTTGGGTATGTTGACTACCTCAGAGGAGAAAATATTCGGTAGGGGCGAAACGCGGTTATGCGAAAATTTCGGCTGCTTCATGGGCAAAGTGGCCGAGTGGTCTAAGGCGCCAGATTTAGGCTCTGGTCTTTCGAGGCGTGGGTTCGAACCCCACCTTTGTCATACGTTTTTGAAGAAGAGTTACTCGGCATTCTCCGCTGAGACCTGAGTTTTAGAACAAGTCAAGCGAGTGTAGCGCAGCCGGCAGCGCGTGGGTTTCATAAGCCCAAGGTCGTGAGTTCGAGCCTCACCATTCGCAAATTTTTTTTCTTCCTGGATTCCCGAGGAGAGTGAGGTTTTGGGGTGTTTCTGAGGAATTTTTTTTTTTTTCCTCCGCTGAGGCGTGGGCCTCCGCTGAGGGGTAGGGCTTCGGGTAGGGGGGAGAGGAGGGGGTGGGCTTGGGAATGGGGCTCCCAATAGCCGGGGGAGGGGATCAGTTCTTTTCTATTTTTTTTTTTTGGATGGTTTGCGGTGGTGTAAATATCATAAAACTTTCTTCAAAGAAGGGTACTTGTTGCGGATCGACTCGCACGATCGCCAGAGAGAGCCGATAATGAACTCCATCGCGTGGCACAGCTCCTTCGTCTGGGCAAGACACTCCATGTGCTGCACCTCGCCGCCGTGCGATCCCATCATGGGCACAATGTCGTTCGACTGCACGATCGTGAGGACATACTTTTGGAGAGCGCGCAGCTCCACGTTAAACTTCTTTCGGGACAGCACGATACCGGGGGCACTGAAGAGCACCGCGGGCACCTCCAGCTGGCTGGCAAGGACGGCCGCCACCGCCCCGCCCAGGGAGTGGCCGGTGATGAGGACGTGCCCCGGGTGGTCCCTCTGCGACCCGATGTAGACGACGTGGTTGTACACATCGGCAAAGAAGTCACGGTGGTAGTTGTTCTGACGGCAGAACCGGAGACTCTCATTGCGACTCTGGGTGAGTTGCGCCCACGTCTCCCGCCGGGGGTCCTCCTTGTAGCGCTTCGGCGTCGGGTTCGCATAGTAGGCAGTGCTGAGGTCGTACACACTGTCGGAGGGGGGAATGGAGACCAGACGGATCATGTCGGACACCAGATCGGGTGGGATGATCGCCGCGCCAGGGATCACGCTCGTCAGCACTTGGTAGAGGACGGTCTCAAAGAACATGTTGACATCAATGAGAAAGTCGGTGAAGGAGGAGAGGTCTGTGCCGCGGATGGCAATGACGGACAGATCTCTGGATTTGCTATAAATATCGTAGAAACCGGCCCACCCCGTCGGGGCGTGGTTGGAGTCGCCGTACTTGCACGCCGCGCCGTGCCGAGGCCGGAGGGACCAGTCGGAGCCGAGGTGCCTGTTCATGAAGCGCAGGAGCGTCTCCACCTCTTCCCGGTTGAACAGGTAGGGGGCCGCGGAGAGGAGGGAGATTTCAAAGACCGACGTGCCGTGGTACTCACGAGTGCACAGGTGTGGGTAGAGGTCCCCCGGCTCCACCGTGTCCCAGTGGTTCGTCCGCTTATTCCCAAACCACCGTGAGACGAGATCCTCCGTGGAGCTGCTGTTTTTAGGCTCCACGTAGTCCGACGAGAAGAGGTCGAGGTGCACGACAATGTGGTCTAGGGTCAGCTTACTGTAGTCCTCCGGCACCTCCACCCGCACCGGCAGCGGACGGGAGAAGGGGAAGGCCGCCTGCAGGATCATGCCGCTCACAATAATCGCAAAGACAACGAGAAACGTGAACGTGATGCCACGGAGCACCACCCGCGCCGTCCGGAACCGAGCCCCGCTGAGGTACCCAGGACTTTGCATCGAAAGCAGCTTGGGGACGGCGTAGGCGTAGAAGGCACGGGAGTAGAGATAGTACTTGGAGTTGCCGTACGGGATCACCTGCACCCGTCGCAGTTGCACAATACGACCGTCGGCGTAGCGGATTTGTTTGTTTTTCAAGTCAATCGCCAAGTCCAGACTCACCACGTCGACGTGCTCGTGCTTCTTTTCATAGGAGTCCTCCAGCAGCGTGCTCAGCGACGGCGGCAGTATGTTGTGGTTCTCATCGTACCACCGGACACACCCACGCGCGGTCACGTCAAACTCTCTCACCAGGTCGATGGTGCGGGAGATGAGCAGCGCATTCACCGGGACCAACACCAGACACGTCAAGAAGTGATGCCTAAAGTAGTAGAAGGAGTAGATCAGGATGACCTGGTAGGGTGCCAGCAGCGCCAAGAAGGGGTACACCGCATCCCGGTGCCGGTGCAGCCAGTGACAGGAGCGAACAATGTTCAACAAGCCAAACGTTATTGAGAGGGTTGCGTAGGCGAACTGGTGCGGCACGTTCAGGTAGATCAGCGTCAACACAAAGGACGTCAGACCGTACACCGCACCGCGGAGAAACCCGTACAAAATAGAGAACACCACCGCCATGACGAAGCCAATATAACGCATCAAGTGAATGTTCTTTTCCCACCAGTTGTCCTCCACATACACAAAGAACTTGTACCCGTCCGGCATCCCGCTGTCCTCGCGGGCCACCTCTCCCTCCTGGCTGCGAGACGCGTCGAAGGAGGGTGGGCTCATTGGCGACCCCACTTCGCTATGATTGGTTTGACTTCGCAGGGGGGTGGCGCAGGCACTTTCCCCCGGAGGGGAGGTAGGGGTGCTATCCAGCAGACTGCTCACACTGCCAGTGCTGGTGTTCGCCTGACCGCCTTTTCTGCCCCCATGTCGTCGCCGGTGGATGGCGGTGGTGGCGAGGTCCACAATCGACGGCGGTGCGTCGTGCACGAGCGTGAAAAGAACAAACCCCACCTCCACCACAATCACCCATATCATGGTGTACGAGAGCCAGCTGGCCCCGCTGGTCCACGTCACCACGAGGTTGGTGTAGAGGGCAAATAACACAAAAACAAGAAGGCTCAAAAAGATGAGCGAGAAGACGGAAAACCGAAACTTGGTACGGGTCATGAACTGAAGTCTCGCCCGCATCAGGGGGTAGTCCTGATTCTTGTGGGTGGAGCAGGCGTCGATGAGGGCCTCTATTGTGCAGTTCAACGCCTTATGACCCACCGTCGCCACCGACATCCCCAACGTGAGAAATGGAATGAACTTGATCCAAATGTCGCCCAGCCCTCGCAGCAAGGTCACCACACTACCGGCTGGGTACGGATCGCGCTCCATGGACTGGGTGACCGGCACCACCAGTACCCACACGACACGCTGCAGGGCGGCATGGGTGAGGGCGACAATGACGACAATCGTCGGGAGAATGTAGAGGGCGAACACCCCTCGCAAGAGGACGTCGGAGTAGACGTGCACTTCGTCAGGGAGGTACATGGACCGGATGGTGGTGCGCGTGAGGCGGTACCACACACGAGTGCTGTGCCGGAGGGCCTTGAGTTTGTCGACGACAAAGGTGAAGATGCTTTCTCGCAAGCTTGGTGTTTTATCCTCCTCCTCTTTTTTGTTGGCTTCCATTACTGTTGGACGGGTGTATATATATATTCTTGATTGTCTCAACGATAGTTTTTTTTTTTTTTTTTTTTGTATGTTTTCTATGATGAAAAGCAATAAAACTGTAATAAAAAAAAAAAACTCCGAAAACTTGTGCAATTACGGTTAGTAAAAACGTGTAGCCCTATGCTAGAATATTTATTCTAACGGTGCTGCCTTCAGTTTCGGAAAAAAATAAAAATAAAATAAATAAATAAAAAAGAGATACTTTAGGAAAAACAAAAAGGTGAATACGGGAGAAGAAAAAAATACAATAATGGAATGAAAACTACACGGTTTCGATAGTACGCCAAAACAAACTCAAATAGTATTAAAAAATAAAAATAGACACGTTAAGGTTAGGATATTATTCTTATAGTATGTTGCTGTTATCGTTTTGATGTTTGGTTTAGAAAAAAAAAAAAAAACAGAAGATCCGTAAAGTACCTAAATTTTGGCCCCCTCCGTCAGTTTCGCGTACTGTTCTAAATAATCGACTGCAGTTTCTTTTTCGGTCCCGCCTCGGTGGACGGGTGGTGCCGGAGCGCCTGCACCTGCTGGATAAGCCGTGCAACCCGCTCCAGTCCATTCTGCCCCTGGAACTTCCCCCCGTACCCTTCCTCCATCCGACCGTCGTTGAGAGCGTAAAAGATGGTGTCTCCCTCCCCCCGGACCAGCCGGATAAACTGAAGTTCGATCGCACTCTGAAAGTAGTGCTGCAAGGTCTCCTTGTTACCGGCGACAATGTACTCCACCAGCCGACCACCACTTCCCTCACCATCACCGCTGGGGCTATTCTCAAAACACAACTTGTAGCTGTTGAAGGCGGCGGCGGCGACGGTCTTGGCGGGTAGACGGTTGGAATCCTTGAAGGTGGAGAATAGTATCTCAATGGTCAGCAGTACCACGTAGAGCGCCTCTATGTGGGGAAACAGCAGCTGCGCGGTGAAGTAGTAGAGGCGGGTGACCGGCACCACCACCGCGCCGCCGTTGCCAGCCTCCCCACCACACTGCTGGAGCACCTGTCGCTCCTCCTCCCCGGAAGTGCGCATGCGATGCAGCACGCAGGACATCCAGGAGTCAAAACTATACGGGCAGTAGCGGCTGTAGTTGGGAAACTCCGTCGCTAACATCAACTGCAGCCAGTGACAGGTGTTCTCCATCACCTCCTTCTTGACCACCCGCACCCCGTACGGCATCTTCTTATTGGTGTGCCCGGACGGCGAGGGGACCGGGGTGAAGTTACCGTAGGCGTGCGACACCACACTCACCAGCGCCTCGTCGACGAAGATGTGAATGAGCTGATTGGTACTAATGTTCACCCCAACCCGCGCGACAAGGGAATCTTTCGGGTGAAGGGTGACGTGAGGGAATGGGCCGTCCGTGTGCAGCTTGGCAAACTTGCGAAGGCGGGTCACCCCAACGGTGGTGATGCGGGCGGTGCTGGAGCTGAGTACATCGTCCTGCAGTCTTCCCTTTCGCGCCTTGATACACTCCTTCAGCCACTCCACATTCTTTTCCAACGTGGAGAGCGTAAGGCATGTCGTGCCCATACGGCTACGTTTTTCGTCAGGGGTGTCCTCCAGCGGGCCAAGACACTCTAGCAGGGAGGCCACCAGGGCAGAGGGGGAAATCACAATGTTGCGCTGCAGCTCATAAGTGATGCGCCAGCCGAGCCGGGTGAGAAGGGCGGGAGAGGTGGTGGACTTTGCTGGGGGAGTGGGAGACTCCTTCGGCAATTCGGTGCGCGGCTGAAACGGTGCGGGACACTCGTCGAGGTGGACCGAGAGC